TCTGTGTGTGTCTCACACTCTCTGTGTGTCTCTCACACTCTCTGTGTGTGTCTCACACTCTCTGTGTGTGTCTCACACTCTCTGTGTCTCACACTCTCCCCCTCGTGTCTCACACTCTCTCTGTGTGTCTCCCACACTCTCTCCACGTGTCTCACACTCTCTGTGTGTGTTTCACACTCTCTGTGTGTGTCTCACACTCTCTGTGTGTGTGTCACACTCTCTGTGTGTGTGTCACACTCTCTGTGTGTGTCTCACACTCTCTGTGTCTCACACTCTCTCTGTGTGTGTCTCACACTCTCCCCCTCGTGTCTCACACTCTCTGTGTGTGTCTCACACTCTCTCCACGTGTCTCACACTCTCTGTGTGTGTCTCACACTTTCTCCACGTGTCTCACACTCTCTGTGTGTGTCTCACACTCTGTGTCTCACACTCTCCCCCTCGTGTCTCACACTCTTTGTGTGTGTCTCACACTCTCTCCACGTGTCTCACACTCTCTGTGTGTGTCTCACACTCTCTCCACGTGTCTCACACTCTCTGTGTGTGTCTCACACTTTCTCCACGTGTCTCACACTCTCTGTGTGTGTCTCACACTCTGTGTCTCACACTCTCCCCCTCGTGTCTCACACTCTCTGTGTGTGTCTCACACTCTCTCCACGTGTCTCACACTCTCTGTGTGTGTCTCACACTCTCTCCACGTGTCTCACACTCTCTGTGTGTGTCTCACACTCTCTGTGTGTGTCTCACACTCTGTGTGTGTGTCTCACACTCTCTGTGTGTGTCTCACACTCTCTCCACGTGTCTCACACTCTCTGTGTGTGTCTCACACTCTCTGTGTGTGTCTCACACTCTCTGTGTCTCACACTCTCCCCCTCGTGTCTCACACTCTCTGTGTGTGTCTCACACTCTCTGTGTGTGTCTCACACTCTCTCCACGTGTCTCACACTCTCTGTGTGTGTCTCACACTCTCTGTGTGTGTCTCACACTCTCTGTGTGTGTCTCACACTCTCTGTGTGTGTCTCACACTCTCTCCACGTGTCTCACATTCTCTCCACGTGTCTCACACTCTTTCTGTGTGTGTCTCACACTCTCTGTGTCTCACACTCTCTCCACGTGTCTCACACTCTCTGTGTGTGTCTCACACTCTCTGTGTGTCTCCCACACTCTCTCCACGTGTCTCACACTCTCTGTGTGTGTCTCACACTCTCTGTGTGTGTCTCACACTCTCTGTGTGTGTCTCACACTCTCTCTGTGTGTGTCTCACACTCTCTCTGTGTGTGTCTCACACTCTCTGTGTGTGTCTCACACTCTCTGTGTCTCACACTCTCTCCACGTGTCTCACACTCTCTCTGTGTGTCTCCCCCTCTCTCTCCACGTGTCTCACACTCTCTCTGTGTGTGTCTCTCACTCTCTGTGTGTGTCTCACACTCTCTGTGTGTGTCTCACACTCTCTGTGTCTCACACTCTCCCCCTCGTGTCTCACACTCTCTGTGTGTCTCTCACACACTCTCTCCACGTGTCTCACACTCTCTCTGTGTGTGTCTCACACTCTCTCCACGTGTCTCACACTCTCTGTGTGTGTCTCACACTTTCTCCACGTGTCTCACACTCTCTGTGTGTGTCTCACACTCTCTGTGTCTCACACCCTCCCCCTCGTGTCTCACACTCTCTCTGTGTGTCTCACACTCTCTCTCCACGTGTCTCACACTCTCTGTGTGTCTCACACTCTCTCTGTGTGTGTCTCACACTCTCTGTGTGTGTCTCACACTCTCTGTGTGTGTCTCACACTCTCTCTGTGTGTGTCTCACACTCTCTGTGTGTGTCTCACACTCTCTGTGTGTGTCTCACACTCTCTGTGTGTGTCTCACACTCTCTGTGTGTGTCTCACACTCTCTGTGTGTGTCTCACACTCTCTGTGTGTGTCTCACACTCTCTGTATGTGTCTCACACTCTCTGTGTGTGTCTCACACTCTCTCCACGTGTCTCACACTCTCTGTGTGTGTCCCACACTCTCTCCACGTGTCTCACACTCTCTGTGGGTGTCTCACACTCTCTGTGTCTCACACTCTCCCCCTCGTGTCTCACACTCTCTGTGTGTCTCTCACACACTCTCTCCACGTGTCTCACACTCTCTCTGTGTGTGTCTCACACTCTCTCCACGTGTCTCACACTCTCTGTGTGTGTCTCACACTTTCTCCACGTGTCTCACACTCTCTGTGTGTGTCTCACACTCTCTGTGTCTCACACCCTCCCCCTCGTGTCTCACACTCTCTCTGTGTGTCTCACACTCTCTCTCCACGTGTCTCACACTCTCTGTGTGTCTCACACTCTCTCTGTGTGTGTCTCACACTCTCTGTGTGTGTCTCACACTCTCTGTGTGTGTCTCACACTCTCTCTGTGTGTGTCTCACACTCTTCTGTGTGTGTCTCACACTCTCTGTTGTGTGTCTCACACTCTCTGTGTGTGTCTCACACTCTCTGTGTGTGTCTCACACTCTCTGTGTGTGTCTCACACTCTCTGTATGTGTCTCACACTCTCTGTGTGTGTCTCACACTCTCTCCACGTGTCTCACACTCTCTGTGTGTGTCCCACACTCTCTCCACGTGTCTCACACTCTCTGTGGGTGTCTCACACTCTCTGTGTCTCACACTCTCCCCCTCGTGTCTCACACTCTGTGTGTCTCCCACACTCTCTCCACGTGTCTCACACTCTCTCTGTGTGTGTCTCCGTGTGTCTCACACTCTCTCCTCGTGTCTCACACTCTCTCCACGTGTCTCACATTCTCTCTGTGTGTCTCCCCCTCTCTCTCTCCTCGTGTCTCACACTCTCTGTGTGTGTCTCCGTGTGTCTCACACTCTCCCCCTCGTATCTCACACTCTCTGTGTGTGTCTCACACTCTCTCCCCCCGTGTCTCCGTGTGTCTCACACTCTCTGTGTGTGTCTCACACTCTCTGTGTGTGTCTCACACTCTCTGTGTGTGTCTCACACTCTCTGTGTGTGTCTCACACTCTCTGTGTGTGTCTCACACTCTCTGTGTGTGTCTCACACTCTCTGTGTGTGTCTCACACTCTCTGTGTGTGTCTCACACTCTCTGTGTGTGTCTCACACTCTCTCTGTGTGTCTCACACTCTCTGTGTGTGTCTCACACTCTCTGTGTGTGTCTCACACTCTCTGTGTGTGTCTCACACTCTCTGTGTCTCACTCTCCCCCTCGTGTCTCACACTCTCTGTGTGTGTCTCACACACTCTGTGTGTGTCTCACACTCTCTGTGTGTGTCTCACACTCTCTCCACGTGTCTCACACTCTCTGTGTGTGTCTCACACTCTCTGTGTCTCACACTCTCCCCCCTCGTGTCTCACACTCTCTGTGTGTGTCTCACACTCTCTGTGTGTCTCCCCCTCTCTCTCCACGTGTCTCACACTCTCTGTGTGTGTCTCCCCCTCTCTCTGTGTGTCTCACACTCTCTGTGTGTCTCTCACACTCTCTCCACGTGTCTCTCACACTCTCTCTCTCTGTGTGTGCCTCTCCCCCTCTCTCTCTCTCCCTCTCCACCACCACCAACTTCCCCCGCTCCACCCCCGCTCCACCCCCGCGCTGTCCAGCATGAACCTGCGTGAGGTGCTGAAGAAGTACGGCAAGGACGTGGGGCTGCACATTAAGGCGGTGCGCTCCTACAGCCAGCAGCTCTTCCTGGCGCTCAAGCTGCTCAAGAAGTGCAACATCCTGCACGCCGACATCAAGCCCGACAACATCCTGGTGCGGGGTGCGGTGGGCGGGGCGGGATGGGTACTTGATGATGTCGCAAAGTTGGGGGGCACAGTGCGTGCGTTTGGCGGTGGGGGGTGGGGGGGGGGGACCCCCCCTAACCCTCCCCGCGTGGCCCCCTGCCATGACTCCTGTCCCCCCCCCCTCCGCCCGCCCAGGTGAACGAGTCCAAGACGATCCTGAAGCTGTGCGACTTTGGTTCCGCGTCGCACATCGCCGACTGTGACATCACCCCCTACCTCGTGAGCCGCTTCTACCGCGCACCCGAGATCGGTGAGCGCTGGGGGGTGAGGGCTGAGGGGTGAGGGGTGAGGGGTCGAGGGGTGAGGGGTGGAGGGGCGAGTGCATGAGAGGTGAGGGGTGGGGATTGACGATGGCGGTGGAGCGGTGGCGCAGCAGTTGGCACGCTGCGGCTTCAAACCCCGGCCCACCCGACTTCGAATCCCGCTCGGGTCATGCAGCACCGGTGACGATTGTCCGAGCCGGTCACGAACCTGGTGCTGTGCGGTGTGTGTAGTAGTAAAACATCGCCACCGGGGAGACAAAGGCGGCCGGGCGTGGCGCTGGCCACCCACCCCCCTCGTGTGCCACCGTTCCGGCCTACACAGGTGCTCGCTAACAGCGCTTGCCCCCCATGGCATGTTCAGGCTGTGCTGGGGATCTTTGTCTTTGGCGAGTCTCTGCGCCTCTCCGCGATGAATCTGCGAGTCCTTAACACCGCACGTAGCCGACCGTGCTAATCGGAGGTGCGGGGTAAGGACGCCAAGCCACGGTTCTCTGCACGGACTTCGCCGGTGTCAGTGTGCGCGAGTCCGTGGGGGTCTCTGCGCGAGCCTTTGTACGGGCGTACGTTTGAACCGCGTAGCCAACCTCACCATTGCCTCCCCGCCACGTCCATTGCGGACCCGCCCGCCCGCCCGCCCCACCCCGGCTGCCAGTGATCGGCAAGGCCTACGACTACGCCATCGACATGTGGTCCGTGGGCTGCACGCTGTACGAGCTGTACACGGGACGCATCCTCTTCCCCGGAAAGACCAACAACCACATGGTCAAGCTCATGATGGACCTCAAGGGAAAGATGCCCAACAAGGTGAGCCGGGGGCGGGGAGGGGTGGCAGCGTCGCGGTACGAAACCGGCGGCCCAGTGGCGATTCTCCGAATCGGTCCTGGGCCTCCCCTAGGTCGGCTCGGCCTCAAATTAGTTGCCTGGTACGGTGGTGTGGTAGTAAACATCGCCACTGGGGGGAGACAAAGGCGGCCGGGCGTGGTGCTGGCCGCCCACCCCCCTCGTGCGCCACCGTGCCGGCCTTCACAGGTGCTGCTCGCTGTAACGGCACTTGCCCCAACAGTCTGTCAAGGCTATACACGGGGGATCTTTGTTTTAGCTATCGCCATTACAGAAGAGGGTCGTGAGCATTGTGGCACGTGTATGTGTGTGTGGGTCTCTGTGTGAGTCTATGGGTCTCTTCGTGAGTCTATGGGTCTCTGTGTGAGTCTATGGGTCTCTTTGTGAGTCTGGGTCTCTGTGTGAGTCTATGGGTCTCTTCGTGAGTCTATGGGTCTCTGTGTGAGTCTATGGGTCTCTGTGTGAGTCTATGGGTCTGTGTGTGAGTCTATGGGTCTCTGTGTGAGTCTATGGGTCTCTGTGTGAGTTTATGGGTCTCTGTGTGAGTCTATGGGTCTCTGTGTGAGTCTATGGGTCTCTGTGTTAGTCTATGGGTCTCTGGGTGAGTCTATGGTTCTGTGTGTGAGTCTATGGGTCTGTGTGTGAGTCTATGGGTCTCTGTGTGAGTCTATGGGTCTCTGTGAGTCTATGGGTCTCTGTGTGAGTCTATGGGTCTCTGTGTGAGTCTATGGGTCTCTGTGTGAGTTTATGGGTCTCTGTGTGAGTCTATGGGTCTCTGTGTGAGTCTATGGGTCTCTGTGTGAGTTTATGGGTCTCTGTATGAGTCTATGGGTCTCTGTGTGAGTCTATGGGTCTGTGTGTGAGTCATTGGTCTCTGTGTGAGTCTATGGGTCTCTGTGTGAGTCTATGGGTCTCTGTGTGAGTCTATGGGTCTCTGTGTGAATCTATGGGTCTCTGTGATGAGTCTATGGGTCTCTGTGTGAGTCTATGGGTCTCTGTGTGAGTCTATGGGTCTCTGTGTGAGTCTATGGGTCTGTGTGTGAGTCATTGGTCTCTGTGTGAGTCTATGGGTCTCTGTGTGAGTTTATGGGTCTCTGTGTGAGTCTATGGGTCTCTGTGTGAGTCTAATGGTGTGGGGTTTATTGTCACAGTGGGTGCTGTGCGTTTGGCTTTTTTCCTTTTTACGCCTAATTCATTTACGTTTCTTGTCCTTCCCGCACAGCTCCGATTCGCGCGGTTGGCTTCCGACGGTGGTGCGAAAGTTGTTCAACATAACATAGACTCACACAGAGACCCATAGACTCACACAGAGACCCATAGACTCACACAGCGACCCATAGACTCACAGAGACCCATAGACTCACACAGCGACCCATAGACTCACAGAGACCCATAGACTCACACAGAGACACATAGACTCTCACAGAGACCCATAGACTCACAGAGACCCATAGACTCACAAATAGACCCATAGACTCACTACACAAACACCCATAGACTCACTACACATAGCCCCATAGACTCACACAGAGGCCCATAGACTCACACAGAGACCCATAGACTCACACAGAGACCCATAGACTCACACAGCGACCCACAGAATTACACAGAGACCCATAGACTCACTACACAGACACCCATAGACTAACTACACAGAGACCCACAGACTCACAGAGACCCATAGACTCACAAAGAGACCCATAGACTCACAGAGACCCATAGACTCACCACACAGAGACCCACAGACTCACCACACAGAGACCCACAGACTCACCACACAGAGACCCATAGACTCACAGAGACCCATAAACTCACAAAGATACCCATAGACTCACCACACAGAGACCCATAGACTCACCACACACAGACCCATAGACTCGCCACACAGAAAACCCATAGACTCATCACACAGAGACCCATAGACTCATCACACAGAGACCCATAGACTCACCACACAGAGACTCATAGACTCATCACACAGAGACCCATAGACTCACCACACAGAGACCCATAGACTCACCACACAGAGACCCATAGACTCACCGCTCAGAGACCCACAAAACTCACCACACAGAGACCCACAGACTCACAACACAGAGACCCACAGACTCACCACACAGAGACCCATATACTCACCACACAGAGACCCATAGACTCACCACACAGAGACCCATAGACTCACCACACAGAGACCCATAGACTCACCACACAGAGACCCACAGACTCACCACACAGAGACCCACAGACTCACCACACAGAGACCCACAGACTCACCACACAGAGACCCACAGACTCACCACACAGAGACCCATAGACTCACCACACAGAGACCCATAGACTCACCACACAGAGACCCATAGACTCACCACACAGAGACCCACAGACTCACCACACAGAGACCCACAGACTCACCACACAGACCCACAGTTGTCCTTCCTCCGCACCTCTGATTAGCCCGGCTGGCTATGAAGTTCACCTCTCTCTTTTTGTCTGGAGGATCCTGCCACGTTTTTTGACGATGTTGTTGTTGCTGCTGTTGTTGTTGCTGCTGTTGTTGCGTGCGATCCCATTTGAGTGGTTTGCAGGTAACATTTTAGCATTGGGGAATGCGAGTTTGGCCAATTCCACTTCCACTGTGAGTGTGGATTTAGCCACGGGAGGTAACCGGAGGTTCCTGCACCAAAAACCGACTCAGAACAGAGTGGGAGAGAAGACACAAAAGTCTATTCTAGATTTGAAGCTTTCGTGACTGCAAGGATCCATACTCTTTGGTTCTATTCGCTAAAGTCACCACGTAGGTAAAAAAATTTTTATATAACAACACCTGATGAAGGCCGCTTGTGTTGTGGACGAAACGTCGTGATTTTTTGTTGTTTTATTTTTTTACCTACGTGGTGACTTTACCGAATAGAACCAAAGAGTACACAAACTCTGTTCCATTAAACTACTCCTACTGCTGCTTTTTTTTTTAAAAAAAAAAACGACTTCATTTTTATTTCGCCGGGTGCAAGGCCCCGGTGAGCTGCCTCTAGGCATTCGTCAGAAGCGACAAACCGGCCATCACAAACGGTAGCAGCCCAACGCCGGCGGCTCATCGCCATCGCCGCGTGTGGCGAATTCACAGCAGCAGCAGCAGCAGCAGCGGCGGGCCCCCCGATACTCTAGGGAACGTGGAAACCGGACGATCCTCGGTCCGCCAACGGTCTTGAGGATCGCCGCATCACGTGGCCCCCCCCCCTTCCCGGAGAGGAGAGTGACCGCAGTCGCCGGCGGCACCGGCCGCGCGTGTGTGACGCTGTGTGTGTGTGACGCTGTGTGTGTGTGTGACGCTGTGCGTGTGTGACGCTGTGTGTGTGTGCGCGTGTGTGACGCTGTGCGCATGTGTGTGTGTGTGCGTGTGTGACGCTGTGTGTGTGCGCGTGTGTGTGCGTGTGCGCGTGTGTGACGCTGTGTGTGTGTGTGTGTGCGTGTGTGTGTGCGTGTGTGTGTGTGCTCCAGATGATCCGGAAAGGGACATTCAAAGATCAGCACTTTGACCAAAACCTCAACTTCATGTACATTGAGGTGGACAAGGTCACAGAGAGGGTGAGACACTTGGGGACGCGGGAGACGCGGGGGACAGAGAGGCACGGGGAGTCACGGGTGGCGTGGGGACACGGGAGACAGAGAGACACGGGAGACACGGGTAGCGTGAGGACACGGGAGACAGAGAGACACGGGAGTCACGGGTGGCATGGGGACACGGGGACAGAGAGACACGGGGAGTCACGGGTGGCGTGGAGACACGGGAGACAGAGAGACACGGGAGACACGGGTAGCGTGAGGACACGGGAGACAGAGAGACACGGGGAGTCACGGGTGTCGTGGGGACACGGGAGACAGAGAGACACGGGAGACACGGGTAGCGTGAGGACACGGGAGACAGAGAGACACGGGGAGTCACGGGTGGCGTGGGGACACGGGGACAGAGAGACACGGGAGACACGGGTAGCGTGGGGACACGGGAGACACGGGAGACACGGGAGACACGGGAGTCACGGGTGGCGTGGAGACACGGGAGACAGAGAGACACGGGGAGTCACGGGTGGCGTGGAGACACGGGAGACAGGAGACACGGGAGTCACGGGTGGCGTGGAGACACGGGAGACAGAGAGACACGGGAGTCACGGGTGGCGTGGAGACACGGGAGACAGAGAGACACGGGAGTCACGGGTGGCGTGGAGACACGGGAGACAGAGAGACACGGGAGTCACGGGTGGCGTGGAGACACGGGAGACAGAGAGACACGGGAGTCACGGGTGGCGTGGAGACACGGGAGACTGGAGACATGGGAGTCACAGGTGGCGTGGGGACACGGGTGACAGGAGACACGGGTAGAATGGGGATACGGGGACACGGAGAGACCTCTTGGACCTTGTGACTTGGCTACACAACGCAGGGAAGGAGGTTCGTTGGCAGCCAGGGGGTACAATTCAAATGGCGACTTCGGAAATCTCATCCGGAATTATCCTCATACAGCGTCACAGCCTCAAGACCTCTGACACCTCCTCCCCCCACCCTCCTCCCCCCATCCTACCTCCTCCTCCTCCTCCCTCCCCCCGCTCCTCATCATCATTATCCTTACACTCCTCCTGCTCATTGTCCTCATCGTCCTCATCATCATCCTCCTTCCACCCTCCTCCTCCCATCCTACCTCCTCTTCCCCCCTCCCCCCGCTCATCATCATTATCCTTACACTCCTCCTGCTCATTGTCCTCATCACCACCATCACCACCACCACCACCAACATCATCCTCCTCCTCTTACTCCCCTCCCCTCCCCTCCCCTCCTCCCCCCCTCCACACGATCACCACCACCACCACCACCACGCGCAGGAGAAGGTGACCATCATGAGCTCCATCAACCCCACCAAGGACCTGCTGGCCGAGCTGGTGGGCTTCCAGCGGCTGCCCGAGGAGCAGCGAAAGAAGGTCCTGCAGCTTCGCGAGCTGCTGGAGCAGACGCTGATGCTCGACCCGGCCAAGCGAGTCTCCATCAACCAGGCGCTGCAGCACCCCTTCATCCAGGAGAAGATCCTCTAGTGGGGAGGCGGTGGATGGGGGCGGGAGGCGGGAGGAGGCGGGAGGAGGCGGGAGGCCGATTGCCTGCCGCCGCCGCTTTGGTCGTGTTCGGTTGGCATTTGTTGGCGGCGGCGGAGAAGACGACAAAGCCGCCGCCCCGGCGTTAGAGGAGAGGACATTTGGCTCGTGAAGGGACCAGGGTTTTGGATTTCGGTTGGGGGGGGGGGGGGTTCCGGTGGGTGGGGGGGGTGGGTGGGTGGGTGGGTGGTGGGTGGGTGGGTGGGGGGGGGGGGAGTTTTTTTAACGGTGCGTGAGAGAAGGAGCGGCAGGGAATTTTTTTTCCCAAGGCGGCGGAGGTAGGAGAGGTGAGTTGTTGTTACCGGTACCGTCGGCCAATCACGGGGCGGGGCGGGGGCGGTTGTCGCTGCCGATCGACCAATCGCAGACGGGCGAGCGGGAGGTGGGGGGGGGGGGGGAAAGCCGTTGACCAATCGTGAGAGAGCAGCTGACAACTGTTGGCCAATGAAGCGGTCTCTGACCGGAGGGGGGGTCGAGCACTTTCCCGCCGTTGACCAATCACGAGAGAGAGAGAGTTGTCAGCCTGCCGCAGAGAAAGATGTTTCCACTTTCAAGCGATATTAGAACAAACTAGTTTTACTTTGCCAGGTAAGGCCCCGCTGAGTTGTCTAGTTCTTTTTTGGAAAAGTATATAGCAGCCCAAACATGCTTTGAGACGCACGTTTTGTGTGTTTTTTTTAAATGTGGAGGGAAAAATCGTGAGAAAAATCGACTCCGAGAGAGAGACAGAGAGAGAGACAGACAGAGAGAGAGACAGACAGAGAGAGAGACAGACAGAGAGAGAGACAGACAGAGAGACAGACAGACAGAGAGACAGACAGAGAGACAGACACGCAAGCTCCCAATGTCGAGCAGCGGGTCATCGGGTTGGGGATCGAACCCACGACCTCCTGAGACAAGCGGTCGCGAGGTCGTCAACATCCTCCCAGCCACCGTGGCGAACAGCTGTCGTCTCCCTCCCTCCCCTCCCTCCCTCTCCTCCCTCCCTCCCTCCCTACCTCCCTCCCTCCCTCCCCTCCCTCCCCCCCCCCCTCCCTCCCTCTCCTCCCTCCCTCTCCTCCCCCTCCCTCCCCCTCCCTCCCTCCCCTCCCTCCCTCTCCTCCCTCCCTCTCCTCCGTCCCTCCCTCCCTCCCTCCCTCCCTCCCTCCCTCCCCCTCCCTCCCCTCCCCTCCCCCTCCCCTCCCTCCCCTCCCTCCCCTCCCTCCCTCCCTCCCTCTCCTCCCTCTCCTCCCTCTCCTCCCTCCCCTCCCTCCCTCCCCTCTCTCCCATCCTCCTCCCTCTCCGCAATTGAGCGACACCGGCGATCTCGCATCCTGGACGTCAAACCGATGGCCAGGCACCGGCACCACCGCCCCCACCGCCTCACCACCGCCCCCCCGGCACCACCGCCCCCCCGGCACCACCGCCCCCACCGCCTCACCACCGCCCCCGCCGCCGCCTTGAGCCACCTCTCCAGTTCACCGGCGTTTGCTTTCTGTGGGATAGATTTTTGAGGGGTTGCGGGAGCTAGGGGATTGAAGGATTTGTGCTGGGGTTGGAGAGGGAGAGGCGCCGACGGTGTACCTCCTCTGCTGTGGGGGGGGGGGGGGGGCGTGGTGGCCCCCCCCCCGTTTTTTTAGGGGGGGGGGAGTCGGGGGTGGGAGCGTCTGACGGTTTAACAGTAAACAAAAACAAATCAAATCCTCCCCCCTACACGCGAGAACGGTGCGAGTCGTGGCGTCCCCTGGCCCCGTCCACGTACCGCGGTGTAGCTGTCGGCCGCACTCCCCCACGGGTTTTAGTTTTTACCACGGCCACGTGCGGCGATGTGCGAGCGGCGACGTCCGTGCGCTGTCGACGAGTTTAATTTTACTCCGTCATTTCTCTTTTTTTTTTAAAACTCCGCGCCCACCGCTCGCTCGTTCGTTCGCTCGCTCTCTCGCTCGCTCTCAACGCGCCTCGCCCGCCCGCAGGTGAGATTGGGCCTGTGCGGGGGGGCGGGGAATAAATAAATAAATCGTGAGAATTTGAAAGGAAATCGCGACGAAAACCACACACACACACCCCGCCTGCGTGTGCATCGTTGTGTTGAGAGAGGGGTTGTTGCGTATCGGTGTCTTCGCCGTGTGTGGGAGTGATCGGGAGAGAGAGAGGGTTGTTGTGTATCGGTGTCTTCGCCGTGTGTGGGAGTGATCGGTGGTAGGCAACGTGGAGAGAGAGGAGGTTGTGTACCGATGTCTTCGCCGTGTGTGGGAGTGATCGGGAGAGAGAGGGGGTTGTGTACCATAGTCTTCGCCGTGTGTGGGAGTGATCGGGAGAGAGAGGGGGTTGTGTACCGATGTCTTCGCCGTGTGTGGGAGTGATCGGTGGTAGGCAACTTGGAGAGAGAAGGGGTTGTGTACCGATGTCTTCGCCGTGTGTGGGAGTGATCGGAAGAGAGAGAGGGGGTTGTGTACCGCCGTCTTCGCCGTGTGTGGGAGTGATCGGTGGTAGGCAACTTGGAGAGAGGGTTGTTGTGTATCGGTGTCTTCGCCGTGTGTGGGAGTGATCGGGAGTGAGAGGGGGTTGTTGTGTATCGGTGTCTTCGCCGTGTGTGGGAGTGATCGGTGGTAGGCAACGTGGAGAGAGAGAGAGAGGGGGTTGTGTACCGATGTCTTCGCCGCATGTGGGAGTGATCGGGAGAGAGAGAGGGGGTTGTTGTACCGATGTCTTCGCCGTGTGTGGGAGTGATCGGGAGAGAGAGAGGGGGTTGTTGTACCGATGTCTTCGCCGCATGTGGGAGTGATCGGGAGAGAGAGAGGGGGTTGTTGTACCGATGTCTTCGCCGTGTGTGGGAGTGATCGGTGGTAGGCAACGAGGAGAGATTGGGTTGTGTACCGGCGCCTTCGCCGTGTGTGGGAGTGATCGGGAGAGAGAGAGGGGGTTGTTGTACCGCCGTCTTCGCCGTGTGTGGGAGTGATCAGTGGTAGGCAACTTGGAGAGATTGGGTTGTGTACCGGCGCCTTCGCCGTGTGTGGGAGTGATCGGGAGAGAGAGAGAGGGGTTGTGTACCGCCGTCTTCGCCGTGTGTGGGAGTCATCGGGAGAGAGAGAGGGTTGTGTACCGGCGCCTTCGCCGTGTGTGGGAGTGATCGGTGGTAGGCAACTTGGAGAGAGAGAGAGGGGGTTGTGTACCGCCGTCTTCGCCGTGTGTGGGAGTGATCGGGAGAGAGAGAGGGGGTTGTGTACCGGCGCCTTCGCCGTGTGTGGGAGTGATCGGGAGAGAGAGAGAGAGGGGGTTGTGTACCGTAGTCTTCGCCGTGTGTGGGAGTGATCGGGAGAGAGAGGGAGAGGGGGTTGTGTACCGTAGTCTTCGCCGTGTGTGGGAGTGATCGGGAGAGAGAGGGAGAGGGGGTTGTGTACCGCCGTCTTTGCCGTGTGTGGGAGTGATCGGGAGAGAGAGGGGGTTGTGTACCGATGTCTTCGCCGTGTGTGGGAGTGATCGGGTGCGTGGTTTCGGATTTGGAATTTGGAATTTTCGCCTCGAACCCGACTGGAATCATTTCCTCCTTGGTTCTTCCGGTGGAGTCACGTAGGAAGAAAATAAATTAAGTAATGGAGTGTCGACGTTTCGATTGGAACACAAGCAACCGTGATCAGGTAGAACTACATTTGAGAGAGAGACACAACACGGACACGGAGACCACACAGAGACACACAACATAGACACATACACACTGTCTCTGTGTGTCTCTGTGTTTCTCTATGTTGTCTCTCTGCTTGTGTGTCTGTGTTGTGTGTCTCTCTGCTTGTGTATCTATGTTGTGTGTCTCTGTGTGTGTGTTGTCTCTCTGTGTGTCTGTGTGTCTATGTTGTGTGTCTCTCTGTGTGTCTGTGTGTCTATGTTGTGTGTCTCTCTGTGTGTCTCTGTTGTCTCTCTCTGTGTGTTTATGTTGTGTGTCTCTGTGTTGTCTCTCTGTGTGTCTCTGTGTATGTTGTGTGTCTGTCTGTGTCTCTGTCTGTGTGTCTCTGTGTTGTCTCTGTGTGTCTATGTTGTGTGTCTCTGTGTGTCTCTGTGTTGTCTCTCTGTGTGTCTTTGTGTTGTCTCTCTGTGTGTCTATGTTGTGTCTATGTGTTGTCTGTTGTGTCTCTCTCTGTGTTGTCTCTGTCTCTCTCTGTGTATGTTGTGTGTCTCTCTGTGTGTCTGTGTGTGTCTCTGTGTTGTCTCTCTCTGTGTCTCTGTGTGTTGTCTCTCTCTCTGCTTGTGTGTCTCTCTTGTGTGTGTCTCCGTGTCTGTGTTTTGTCTCTCAAAATGTAGTTCTACCTGATCACGCTCCCTTGTGTTTCCAATCGAAACGTCGCACCCTATTGCTTTAATTTATCTTCTCTCTACGTGACCGTACCGGAAGAAACCAAAGGGTCATTGCTGCAGTTTACGAAAGCTTCAAATCAAGTTGGAATCAATTGAGTCCGATTCGATGGGGGCCTTGGTCCCCAACAGCATTAGCCTCGTGGCCACTGCCACTGCCACGGTCGGCTCGGAGGTGTTAACTCCCTCGCCCTGATGTGCAGGAGGCCGTGGGCTCGATCACCCGACCCTGACGCCTGTACGTGTTGGGGGTTTCGGCGGCTCGTCGTCACGTGCAAACTTATAGCGGCCAAACGCGTGTTGACGATGGCGACGGCGCTGATGGTGATTCTCAATGTGGAGGGGCAAAAGAAACGGAGGACCCCGGTGGTGGTGGGGGGGGGACGGGGGAAATTCCACGCCACCCAACGGGGCGAGACACGCCGACTGCCGCACATCTAACAGCAGGCGTCGGTCAGGATGGAAACGCACGACCTACATACCCGGGCGAGCTAGTTAACATCTCCCCACAGTGGCACACCCACCCACCCCCCCACCACCACCACGTGTTTGACATCAAGTACCGTCGTCACGATACACAACTGAATCATTATAGACACAGAGACGCACCACGGTAAATGATTATTTTTCAGTCCGCCCGCGCTCGTGACCCCCGGGCGGTGGATGTGACGCGTTTGTGTGCAATTTTTCAACTTCTTACGGAACCCGGGTGTCCCCGAGTGGCTCTCGACGAGGCCGATCGTTCGGACCACTGGATGTTTTGTCGTCGGGGGTACGGCAGCAAGGCTCCTGTCGCCACGCGGTTTTTCC